TAAGTTATATTATCATATTAATTTTATAGAGGACATGCCCCCAGACCCCCCCCCCTAGATTGAGCTGCCTTTAGCAGTACGGGAGCTGCTAAAAAGCAGCTTCTTATACTTTCAGTCTGTCATTGTAAAAATCTGTATGTCTAGTCAAGCACCCCTAATTTGTAACTCTTTCTTACATCAATGTTAAAATTTATTGGGCAAGAGAAACAATAACTTGTTCATAGTGGTTTGGACTGGTGACGTCATTACCGTTTTTGTCTTTATGAAAACTTGCATTAAACATTTAACAGAAACCACTGCACAGTGTATTAAATTATAACAGCCCCCCAGTGGGTCTAGGGTAAATGTGGGGTTAGAACCATGCTGTGAGCACAGCGCAGATAGCACATTGTGCAGCGTTGTGCTTAAAGAAAGGCACAAACATCGTACCAAGTTACTGACGATAGACGATGGATTTAAGCTATCAAAATGAAGTGTTAAATGGTAACCTTATCTTACGTTTAAAACAGAAGTTACCTTTTCCATGAAGACTCCCCGTAATCACAAAATCCTTACTGCTACTAAAGATTTTAGCTTTTTTGGAATGCAACAATAAGTTCCAGTATCTTAGACAGTAACATTTTACGGAAAATACAAAACAAGATCACATAAACTTACACAATATATATTTCGAGCGCAATTTATTGTTTTTGAACCCTAACGAAGCCCTTTTGATAACCATTGATAATCTAATTCTGATTTGGATACATAAAAATATATTTCACATATCGGCCAACACGTGCTTACTGTAAAGAGCTAATAATATCCCTCTCCCGGAAAAAGTAAAAAAAAAAAATAGTTTTTTAAGGAAAGAGACTGACATTCGCCACTATGCTATTTGTTTGTTTGTAATTAAGCACAAAGCTACACAATGGACTATCTGTACTCTGCACACTACGGGTATCAAAACCCGGTTTCTAGCGCTATAGTTCCTTAGACATACCGCTTTGCCACTGGGGGGGGGGCTCGCCCCCATACTCAAAAAAAGTTACAAAAAACAAAACAATTCTATGGATTATCAAATCGTCAAGCGTATCTATCACTTCCTTAAATAGTTTTGGGATAAACATGTCAACATTATTATCTTAAATTAAATATAACTAAAATCAATGTCAAGTTGAATCCCAACATCAATTTTACACTTTTGAGAAAAACAACAACAACAACAGGAAATGTGTATGTAAAGAAAATAATAAGTTTGTGAGTTTTATTCCAAGAATACTTACAAACATAACTTATAGACTTACCCTGTTCATCCACGACATTTTCATTATCAAAGGAAACAGTGGTGACGAGAGGTTCCTCATTATAGTTACTCAAGTCACTTCTGGGGCTAATATCACCACATCCATGAGAATCTTAAAATCAAACAAATACTTAATCGCAATGACGTATTAAAATAAGATATATTAAGATATATAGACGTATTAAAATAAGATATATTAAGATATATAGACGTATTAAAAGAAGATATATTAAGATATGTAGACGTATTAAAAGAAGATATATTAAGATATATAGACGTATTAAAAGAAGATATATTAAGATATATAGACGTATTAAAATAAGATATATTAAGATATATAGACGTATTAAAATAAGATATATTAAGATATATAGACGTATTAAAATAAGATATACTGAGATATATTGACGTATTAAAATAAGATATATTAAGATATATAGACGTATTAAAATAAGATATATTAAGATATATAGACGTATTAAAA